AGTCAAGAAGACCAAGGCGGAATTGGAACAGCTGGTGAAGAGCAATGGCGGCAAGTTCTATCAGACGAATACGGCAGCTCCTGATATGATCTGCGTGGCGGACAGAAGTAAGCTTTTTTTTCTTCAAGCAAAATTCAGATCGACTGACAGGAACAGGAACGGTCAAGGCGGCTTCGTTGCAGAAAACGGGCGAGGTGGATATCATTCGCCCGTCCTGGATCCTGGACTGTATTCGACAGAGTGAGATTGACGCCGGTCTTGCGGATCTACTTCTTCCTACGGAGCCAAGGTAAGTTTTCTTTTGTGGTTGGAAGGCCAGTGGCTGATGTAGTAGGCATATGTTCTATACTACACCCGAGAAGGAGGCGGAGGTGGCTGCGAGCGTGGACCGCTTCAACGACAGCTATGCACGGAACATCACGCTGGAGGAGCTGAGCGAGGTAGCTACACCTGATGTCTACTTCCCTTTTTCATCTCCACTGACTATGTCCGTAGATATTGAAGAAGATGGAGACGGATGCCACTCCCCGCAACTCCAAAGCCCGCGACAAACTCAAGGAACATCTCTACGACAAGATCAACTCCGGATGGCCACTCCCCTGCGGCTGGCTTTTCGACGGGCTGGTGTTTTACTTCCCCCAGTTGGCACACCAACGCACCACGAGGGATGTTGACCGGGACCATAGCCCCGACGATGACTTCGGGGAGATGGACGACCTCCAATCCCACCACCCCCTCCAGCTGACTAGAAACACGGCGCGGTTCGCAGGGGCTCGAGTGGTCGACACCGCCCAGGACCCGGCCATCACCCATGTCATCCTTCAGCCGACGGGTCTGCCGGTGGCTGAGTATAGGTCTTTACGAGAGCCGTGGGCGGCGGCGCAGCGGATCCCCCATTTCGTGACTACGGGGTGGGTGGAGGAGAGCTGGCGGCAGCAGACGCTTTTGGACGAGGAGCGTGAGTCTCCCTCGTCCCCCCCTGGTCTTTGCTTTGCTTTGAAATCAGAAAACAAAGGCATGGGCTGATTGCTGGCAGAATTCCAACCCCCTAAGCAGGGCAAGGGAAATTGAAAGGAAAGACAGGCGTAACGTCGGGTAGACGCGCATCGCGCAGGATGATGTCTCACCTTCTTGGAGTTTCACGGCGTAGGCTGGTTGGTTTGGGGCCGCGCTGATATATCAAGCATTCAGCATTGGTTCGTTCTTTAGGGCAGGGGGCGGGGGTTTAGTGTTATTAGGTGGTTACGAGGTGTACGGGATGTGCTCAGGGATGGATGGGATGGGGCGCTTATCTCTGCGTTTCGCTCTCTGAGTCACGGTGCCTCTTTTCTTGGTATGTGAGCTTGCTAAGGTATTAATGTTTATATAGCTGGTTGGTTGGTTGGTTGGTGGGGGGTTTTGCATTGCAGATCTGTGTATATCGGTGTATACAAGCCTGGAGCACCAATGATCGCCCGCGGGGTTGGGGAAAGGCTTATCTCTGACCAGTCCGGTGCTGCGCAGGGACAGATGTTACACCGATTCTGGATGACAGCTGGGCTGCGGGCAGCTGGGTTAATGCTATTGATTTATTGATGTATCCTTTGCGGAAACTTTGGAGGTATGGAGCATACCTCAGCACTGCGGTAGCAACCATGCTGATCGACGTGCTGAATGGATGAATAGGCCACCAGACAACAGCATTACCACCTACACTACACACCACCAGGCCCAGGCCGGGTTTACAGTCTCCTTCCCAATCCAACCATTCATAAAGTGAAGTGATATCTATTCATCCGAAACAGGCAACCAAATTGCCTTGCAGGTGAACCACACGCCCATGCTTAAGTTATCTCCGATTGGCCAGAGATAAGCACCCCCCGATCACAAGAACAAGCACAAGCACAACAAGATCATGAAGTGAACCTCAACTTAACCTACCCTACAGCCTTGAACCCAGATAGATACCCTCCATCTTCTGGATGCAGAGATATAAAGGGTATGAGATTTTGAAAATTACACTGTTCGGTCTGACAGCTGGGTTTGGGAGCTCCACCTCACTTGACTTAACTTACCACAGATCCATCGCATGTACTGAGAAGGAGAGAAAGGGAGGCAAAAGATGACGGTATCATCATCTTGACGATCGGAAGTTTTGCTGTGTGATTTGCTGGTCAATTACTGGGTAGCTGGCGTGGTAAGTTAGCTACTAGCAGCTAGCTGGGAGCTGAGCTCTGGGGGAGGCGGTTTTGCCACCCCCGGAATCCGGTGTCGTCATTCACCTGTCTGGCTTCATGGGTTGGGTTGGGATGCAGTGGGTGGTATGTCATTTCGGACCTTGGGTCAAATTAACTTGAGGTGGTTCCAGGTTCGAATTCTATCAGCTCTCGTAGAAAATACATGTATGCACTCTCGTGTTATAGTTGGTTGGATAGTGGGTAAAGGTAGGAAATGCGTAGATATGTCATTCATGGTAAGTTAGTATAACTACGGAGTACGGATCGACCACGTGCGGTATCCTTAGTCCAGCTAATATAACATGCCATAGAACATACGTAGCGTTATCCTTGACCTCCTCCTATCCCCGTGTTGATGTCCTCTCACAGTACGGATACTCCGTAACTACTCCGTAGGCGACAGAATCCATGATCCAATGGTGTCTCACCTAACTTTACCTATCCAGGGCATGTATCCTACCTACCATCCCCCGGGTCTCAGCGTCTCAGCTCTCTCTTATCACTGGCATCCTTATCCTTATCAGTCACCCCCCCCACTACGGTGACTACGGAGCACCTGGGCTACTTACTCAATTGCACTGCAGCCTCGGGGCCTGGGGGTTGAACCCCCCTCGGATCACCATCCCTAATTCTACCCAGAATTAATCTATTTCCGCTGGGGAAAACAACACAACACCATGAAACAAGGTTTTGGTTAGGTTGTTTTCCGAGAAAGGAGTGTGTTTGGGCTGCAGGCTTAGACTAGTCCGAGACTCCGAGTGGCTACTAAGTGCTGGTGTTAGCGTGGGTTGACTGGGATGGGGGGTTTTACCCGCGGTTTAGACTGTCGAAGTGGGTGATGGCTCATGCAGCTAGATAAGGGACTAGACTACTAGTAATTTGGGGGGTTGTGATGAACTACTCTATTAGTATAGTAGTCTAGTTTGAAGAGGGAGGAAAGCAAGCAAGCAAGCAAGCAGGTTTAGCAATGTAAGTCTTTCTCTCTGTCTGTCTGTCTGTCTGTATATGTAGGGTGAGTAGGTGTAGGTGTAGGTGTAGGTATAGCTAAGGTATAGAACTGATAGTAGCAATGCGCCAAGTGTCCCACTCCCCCCCCCCCCCCCCCCAAAAACGCCGATGTATGCCCGTGATTTCCAACTCCCCACCAAGAAACAAAAAAAACAAGCGCTATGTACACCCCCCCAAAAAAAATTACAAGCTTTCAACGGATATCCCCACCCATCGCGACGGAACCGCATTCTCATCCTCCTCGTCGTAGCATTCGTAGCGCACCACCCGCGCTTGGGCTTGATGCACCCCCTTCCGAGCAGGCAGCCAGATGCGCGCGCGCGTCGGCACATCGTCCCGCAGTTTGCCGTTGCGCCGCATGTTCATCTCCAGCACCACCATCCGCAGGAAGTCGCTGTTCTCCCGCGGTTCCCGGGGCCGGGTCATCGGCGGGAAGTCCGGGTCGGACACGGGGAGGAGGGGCTGTTTGGGGAGGTGGTGATGCTTGGCGCGGTGGCCGCCGCGTCTACCCGCGCGCCGGTAGGTCTGCATCTGCACGGAGACCACCGGGCTAGCGCTCGCGTCCAGGGTCTCCTCGTGCGGATGGTAGTCCTGATAGGCGTACATCTCGGCCGGGGAGAGCGTGATCGGGTTTAAGTACCGGCGGAGCGCGGGCGAGGGCGGCTCGTGCATCGGCGGAGGCCGTCGGTCGTCCGTCATCTCTGGCGTGATCGTGAACATCGACCGCGTCAGGAAGTCGTCCGGTTGCACCGACGGGGTCGCGAAGGTGGAGACCGTCTGCGCCGCCGATTTGATCGCCCGCAGCGAGGCGGTCAGGTTCGATTTGAAGCTCGCCCCGAGGCGGGGGAAGGATCGCGATGGCGTCGGGCTGGTTGCCGCCGGCACCGTGGCGGCCGCCAGGAACGACTCCATGTCGAAGTCGTCCTCGGAGCTGCAGTCCTCCGTCTCGAGGAGGGGGTGGTCGAACGCGCAGTTCTCGCAGGGCGGGGATCGCAGGAATCTACGGTCTAGTGGGCTTCGCTGGCTGGACGGGGTCAGGGGCGTAGGCAGACTGGGCGGCGAGTCCAGATCCCGGTCGAGAGACGGGGTGGATGCGATCGAGATGGAAGACGCTGAGAACGACGGCGCCTCGCTGTCGCAGTCGCTGCCAACCGTAGATCTCTCCGTGTCATCCGGCGGACTCAGCAGGAGATCCAGTGCGGTGTTGCCCGTGCTGTCCATCAGGTTGTCGCCCACCCCGTCCAACAACAGCTTGCTGAAGTCCTGCACATGGTTCCCCCGCGGTAACCGGCGAGAATCCCGTCCGCTGACACCCCGTCGACGCACGGGGATCGCCGTAGCTTCCAAGATCGATGCGATGGAGCTGGGGACCGGCCGATCGGACAGCGTCCCCGACGAGGACTGGGGAGTGAGGGTTCTCGGTTTCCGTGGGGTCCTGGGCCCTTTGTTCGCCGCTTGCGAGTGTACGGAGGTCATGCGAGGACCCCGTTTCGGAGGAATGACGACGGGGCTGGAGGGGATCGCCGAGGAAGTTATGTCGGCGTCGGAGGGCAATTCGAGGCCCTCGATAACAGGAAGGCCTAGCACTCCCGGGGTCTTCTCGCTTCGAGTTCCCTTCAAAGGCGAAGACACCGAGCTAAACAGAAATGCTCTGGGGACCATCATCTTTACAGTTTCGTGGTTATCGGTTTCGTTTCACAAGACAAGGATAGTAGTAGTAGTTTGATAAGGCAGCCTAGGCCAGACGAGGCACTCTGATCGAGCGTCTGAGCGAGATACATGGATAAATAGAAAGAGGGCCAGGGAAGAGAAAAAGAGAAAAGCGTCTGATAGACACCTCTCCCAACGGAAGAGTGGACTCCGCTGAAGAATATATAAGGGTATCCGCTAGCGATGAGAACCACTTTTGCTGTGCTGTGCTGTGTTGGCAGTGGGCAGTGGGCACTGGGTATTGGGGGCAGTCACTGGTGCGTACTCCGTAGAAGAGCCCCAGTTCGAGCGGGAGCCCAAAGCGGAAGAACGGCCGGGTGCGTCTGCAGGCACGCGACTGGCAGGTGTACTAATAAGGAAAAGAGGCAGGTGTGAAGAATGATGAGGATGAGGGATAGTAGTAGAGGGTGAGAAAGAAATAGAAGACAAGGGCAGAGATTGTAATGTATGTAGTCTTAAGTGAGAGTTGAAAAGGTGGGAAGACCGGGGGGGGTGGAATGGAAGAAGAGAAGGGAGCGATGAAGAAAGAAGGCAAAAAGACATACTCCGTAGTAATGATCTCAATGGGAGTGGAGAGAGAGAGAGAGAGAGAGAGAGACTACAGTAAGAGACAGCGACAACGATAAGAAACGGGAGCTGGTAATTCTCAGCCTTAGTCCCGTAACATCGGGTCCCAGCGGAGTTGCACTAACCCCCAATCAGGCAGAAAAAAAAAGGAATCCGTAATTCAAATCGCATAATAAGAAACCCGCTTGCAGAAAAGGAGACTCTTGGCGGTCGGCAGTTTTCTTTCTTTTCTTTCTTTCCTAACACTAACACCAACACTAATAGTGAGGCGCTCACCGCTTTGTCCAGAAAGAGGCTGGTCCGTTTCAGGCGGTAAGGGCGGATGCCGACTGCCGGGACCATACCATACCACTCAAAAGTACTAGTCCTGTATGGCCTGCGTTTCACTGTATGTTCTGGAACCCATCACGTAAGTCTTTTGGGCTGGATCGCGGCCGAAGAATGCCCCGAGTGCCCCCGTCCCCACCCGAAGAATGTTCCATCTTACCGCGGCTTACGTACTTTATGAGCCACACAGTAACTTTCAATTTCCAATTTACCGACCAGAGGGTGACTGACTGACTGTCCGAAAGATAGATAGAGTGTGTGCCCAACCACTACACTACAGTTAACACTAACATTATACTACACTACACTACACTACTGTACGGTGTACACTACACTCCACATGACACTATCTGATGAACACCGATATCACTGAACAGATGCCTTGACAACCGCTGCACTCTGAACTCATCCTGCATCCGTCTCTAAGCGCAGGTTGAACGACTCGTCCCGAAGAAGTCATCGTGCTGACCCCTGACTGCTCGTAAAGCAAGTCATGCTGACGACAACTATCATCTCGATATATGCACTGGTCTGGTGCCTGCAGCTGTCCGACCAGAATTAATCATCCTGGGTTCGGAGCGATGATCAGCGGTCCTGCCCGAGGCTTACACCAACTCAAGTCGCTTAGAGACACGGCATACTCCGTCCCTCCCGAGGAGTCCCCTTTAAACTAACTCACGACTAATAGTCATCGAGTAATAGCAACAGTCAAGAATGCCCGCAAACCCTAGTTTCAAACCACTCCCACCCGCCGATGAACAACAGAATCACGTAACTCGGAGAAGGAGCGGTAAAGCAAAGGGGGAAATTCCCTGTGGGACTATTAATATTATTGTATCCATCCCTCACGGATGATTGCGCCGTCTGGTCCAATCGCCGTCTCACAGTGACTCGATTTTAAGCAACGACTCAATAGAGGCAGAGGGCGGATGCACCTGCCCTAATGAGAAGCATTGATCGATAGGGTGTCCCGGCGAGATATTGAGGACATGTGAGTATTCGATAGTACTATGTAGTATATCCTATATACGGTAGTAGCTAGTAGCTAGTAGCTAGTAGCATAGTGAGGTTCATATTCATATTCATATACAGTACTCCGTAGATACCGTTCCTCGTCTTCATCTGGTTCCCTTCCGCTCAGCATCTACGGGAACAATGGCCAGGAAAACAGTACCACCACGAGACAGATTCCATCCTTGATTCCCCCAGATTGACCATGGTTGAATTGCCTTCAGACCGGTTGATGCGATGGATCAACCAAGAAAAGTTGCAGACTGGCAGTTGGCAGTGTCTCTGTATCAGCCGAAGACCAAATGATGGAATGAATGGCAAGTTAGAGTGGCCGAGAGAGAGAGGATGCATTAGTAAGCTTTCACCCCCTCCTTCCCTTTTCTCCTTCCCTTTGGCTTATCGCCGCCGCCCTGCTTTTGCCAATTGATATTGATCTATCATTTGAATCACCCTCCCGACATCACTGCATCATCCTCCCCCCCCAGTCCCTATCGTCATCCTGGTCCTTGCATCGTCCAATCATCCTCTTTCATTGTTAACCTTCTTATCGTCTTCCTGTTATCCCCCCCGTCCCCAGCTTCTGATTTCTCCATCACCCCAGGTTATCGAACTGAGGAGCTCCTCCTGCTACCCTTACAACGGTCACTCGCCTCCACTTGCGGGTCATCTCAATCTGTCCATCTGATGCAAATCGCCGCGTGGCGCCTCTGGCTCTGATCGGATCCTTCTCACTAACTCGTAAGTGAATTGCTTGGCATGTGATCTCCCCCAATGTCTTTAGATAGCTCAACACCCTTGTGCCTCCCAATACTGCACACCAAGCCCCTGCCTCTGCACCAATGACATCCCTCTAGTTTCATGCACACATCCCAACTAATGTCTTTCCTCCCCCGCAGATTCGTCCGTTCACCACGGCGCTTATGCCGGTTGATGCGCTCGACCTATCATCCCCATTCAACCTGTGTCGAGACCTCCATGAAGGCCTGTCGCTCCAGCAGATCGCCAAGCTCCTCCCACCTTTGAGAAGCATGCCCCGCCCCATCTCGACGTTTTCTCCGAACACTTCTGGGTGGACCTGACAGCCATGGAAAACAGCTCCGCGGAGATGCCGCAAGACATGAGCCCGGCCCCTTCATCTACTGCGACCCAGAGGAGAGGTGGTCAAGGACCCGCGGGGGACAATGCTTCGGCCTCGAAAAGGCGCTGTGTTAGCACCGCCTGTATTGCCTGCCGCAGGAGGAAATCAAAGGTTCGACCCGGGTGACCTCCTCGGTTGTTTCTACAGCTTACCCATTGCCACAGTGTGATGGTAACCTACCCAGTTGTGCCGCCTGCTCTTCCGTATACCACACGGCTTGTATGTATCCCGTCCTCTCCATGACGAGCTTGTCATGCTGATGTGCTCGTCTAGGTGTCTATGACCCGAACTCGGACCATCGCAGGAAAGGGGTGTACAAGAAAGACACCGACACTTTGCGCACGAAGAACGCCACCTTGTTGACGCTGATCCAAGCTTTGCTCAACTACGAAGAGGAGGATGCTTTCGACTTGGTCCGCCAGATTCGGTCGTGCGACAACTTGGAGGATGTTGCGCAATCCATCCTGGGGCAACAGAACAAGCCTTCGCTGGCCTCCGACACCCCTGTCGCTAGCGGGGACGAGGCCGATCAATTCGAGTCGGAGCTGTCGGGCAAGATGAGTGAGCTTATGTTGGACGGCTCTCGAAAACTCATTGGCGGCACTTCCAACCTCATTTACTTGCCACCCGGCTCAGAGCTAAATGAATTCAATCCCAATGCCAACCACCAGGAGCTGGGCCGGGGTGTTGACGCCTCAGTGTCCCACTGGACCAGAGTCACTGATGATGAGAAACTTATAAGCCATCTTATGAAGATGTACTTCACCTGGCATTATCCATTCTTCACGACTTTGTCGAGGGACCTTTTCTATCGAGACTATGTTCGCGGAGTTTCGAGTCAGTATTGCTCTTCTCTGCTGGTCAACACGATGCTAGCGCTTGGCTGCCATTTCAGCTCCTGGGAAGGGGCCCGTGAAGATCCGGGTAATTCGGCGACGGCCGGCGATCATTTCTTCAAAGAAGCCAAGCGGTTGTTCTTCGAGAACGATGAACATGCGAACGCGAAGCTCTGCACCGTCCAAGCATTGGCGCTGATGTCTGTACGCGAGGCTGGATGCGGGCGCGAGAGCAAAGGTTGGGTCTACAGTGGAATGAGTTTTCGTATGGCTTCCGACTTGGGCTTGGACTTCGACTCTACCAGCCTTGGAGTGCGTAATCTCAGCGAAGAAGAGATAGATGCGCGTCGGATCACTTTCTGGGGATGCTTCCTCTTTGATAAGTATGTAGTGTCACCGTCACCTCAAACTCTGATGAGACTAACCTTTTCAGATGCTGGTCCAACTACCTCGGCCGTCAGCCGCAGTGGACTGTTGGGGACATTGGTGTTTCCATGCCGGAAATTTTCCCGAACGAGGACGCTGCATTGTGGTCATCGTATACGGATGCTGGAGTCGCTGAGGACCAGGCTCAGCCTTCGCGGATTCGAGCAATTGCAGTACAGATATCCAAGCTCTGCCAGATCAATGGTGACCTGCTTGTCTTTTTCTACGATCCCAAGCCTAAGGACAAGCTTTCTTCTAAACAAGCGGAGCTCAAGAAACTCAGTGAGATCCACACTAGACTTGAAACCTGGAAGAAAGATTTGCCCAAGGAGCTCGGGCCCCAAGATGGACAGCTTCCTCAGGCGCTTCTTATGCAGTGAGTTAATGATGCTCGTGTTATGGCGGATGACAGGATCACTAATCGCTCTGAAGCATGTTCTACCAGCTCCTTCTCATACACCTCTATCGCCCGTTCCTGAAGTACACCAAGTCCACATCTCCGCTTCCTCAGCATGTCTCGCCTCGAAAGCTCTGCACTCAAGCAGCTTCCGCCATCTCTAAACTTCTGAGGATGTATAAACGCACGTACGGATTCAAGCAGATCTGCAACGTTGCTGTATACATGGCTCACACCGCTCTTACGGTGCATTTATTGAATCTCCCCGAAAAGAATGCCCAGAGAGATGTCGTACATGGTGTTCGGCACTTAGAGGAGATGGGCGAGAGCTGGCTTTGCGCACGCCGTACGCTCAGGATTCTAGAGATCTCGGCCAACAAATGGCATGTCGAATTACCCGCAGAAGCCGTCGCCACTTTTGAAAGTACACATGTTCGATGGGGGTCCTGGGGTTCCTGGGATCAGGCTCTGTCTCCTCCGGCATCAGAAGATTCTCCGCCAACGATATCTATGTCGTACCCTGATTCGAATTCCAGGGGGATTGGCCTCCCCATGCCGCCACGGCACGCTGTCATGGAGGGTCACGGTGGCAACTACATGCACAAAAAATCGGCCACCACGGTCGGATCAATGGGTTCTCAATTGTTACCGGATCTCCCCGTTCCTGTCTCCGCATCAGCCATGCGTGCTGTTCAGCGGTCCTTGAACGCCCAACTTGCTCAAGAGCCCGCCCGGCTCCCTGAGCCGACATACCTCCGGCCCGTCGCTCATGCCTATGCGCAATACCGCAATGTGCCCGTATCCCAGGCTGATATGTGGTACAACGATGAAAATATTCGTGCGTTCAGCTCTGTACAGGATAACTCTCCGGCAACCACGACTTCGCCGGCCAACGAGTATGGTGGTTCGGAAAATTTGGTGGAAGAAAGCCAGGATTGGTGGTCTCGAGAGTCACACCGGTTTAACTTTGGAATGGACAACTGGGTGTCGGATTGGAATCCTAACATGCCAGGCAGGGCATCAGGTGCGAATCCAGGTAGCAGCTATCCACTAAACGTTGGGCAGACGTCGGGGCCAGAGAGCGCTTCGAACCCGCCACCACCCATGAGATTTGCGGTGGGTGCTCCATCTGGCACCAGTAATCCGGATCACTCTCCCGCAATCCCTGACTATAATAACGTGCCTACGTCGGAAGCATACCCCAGGCAGTGAGCCTGGTTTGGCAGTATGATATACATAAAGTTTCGGACCTGATGCAGTGCAGGGCTTTTATGTCCACGGTTGTTACGGTTGTTACGGCTCTTACGGCTCTTACGGTTCTACGAGGCGACGCACTGGCCTTTTCTTACTAACCGCTTCTGTTCCGGTTATAAGTATATAGTCCCATTAGATGATAGAGGTCATTATTTCGACTTAATCAGATACCAAGGTCTCCCCAACTTCTTTATGAATGGGTTGTTTATTGATAGTATGGTGGAAGACACCAAACCACCAACATCCCTCAGCTGTCTCTGAGTAGGCATAGCAACTCACGCTCGTGTCGTGTCTGAGCACAAGCCACGACACCCACACCCAGAGCCAACTATGTAACTTGAACTCACATGTTCCATCCTTTTCAGCCCAACTTTTGCCACCATACCCCTCGACCAGACCAACCAGCCATTCACTCATCTTGTTCCTGTGCGAACGAGTCCCTGAGCATGTATGCACACTCCAGCCCTACATATGCACACCAATCCATTATACCAGCAAAGCAAAAAGGCAAACTAGTAGCGCGGGGGGTAACCCTATACCTTCGAATAGTAGTACACCCTGAGAAGTATCTCTAGTTACGAGGTCGAACAGCTTGAGTTTGACCCAAACAACACCCCCCCCCCCTCGCCTGCCTGTCTACGAGATGACTTTTCAAGGAACAGCAAAAATAACCATTTATGCCTGATACAGGCAGGGGGAAGATTATTTAGCTAGCGTAGTTTCCCTGGACAATATCCATGGTGGTTTTATGGGGTTGGGTTCCATGGTGTAAGGAAGGGGGATTGGGGCCTGGAGGTTGTAAATGCTGGGGACGATGGATGTAGTTTCGAGATGAAAATCTGTGGATGTATGGATGTATGAAGAAAGGAAAGAGAAAAGGAAAAAGAGAGGTACAGATATAGAAGGGTTAGAAAAATGGAAAAGAAATTCCGGAATGAGTAAGGCAACGCAACGCAAGGCAGAGAAAGAAAGGTCATGTCCATGCAAGTTTGTTGTATTGGTTGTAGAAGGAGGAGTAGGTAGGTAGGTAAGTAGGTAGGTAAGTAAGGCGTATATATGGTGCCGAGAAGAGGGTGATGTCAGGTTTGGTTTCGTGGAGGAAAATGTATGTGTGGATGGTTGAATAGGATGGAGCAGAACTTTGGTATCACTTATCACTGGTTGCGGACCGGACGAGGATTAGTTTTCGAGTTGGGTTGGATTGAAATGAAAGACTTTAGAAAATAGGGGTTACGTACCAGGAAATAATCAGCAACAGGCTTCTTCGCGGGCATACCTCTTGTATCCTGCGCGGCGGCCTCGAAGACCCGGTACCGTCGACCGGGGCTTCGGGTCACGGCCGCCGCACCGGCTGCACCGCCGGTGCTTCGACCGTATTCGCCGTTGCTGCGGGCGACCGTGCCCCCGTTGCTGGCGTCCTCGCCGAGTTCTAGGATGGAGGCGACGTTGCCGCAGCGGTAGCAGTAGTTGGGGGCGGACCAGACGGTGACGATGCCGCCGTCGAACATCTCCTTGTACCCTTCCATGACGAGCTGGTGGGCGCGCGCGATCAGCGACAGGTCGTTCTTGTAGTTGAAGTGTTTCACAATGTCGCCCCCGAACAGGAACCCCGCGCCGCGCGGGCTGAGGCCCCAGCCGTCGATCTCGTCCGGGTCCGACCAGAGGAGGTCGCACATCGCGCCCTCGTGCGGCACTTCTTGTTTGCGGTCGATCAGTCGGATCTTATCCACGCTGTCGATGAGTGGGGAGAGACCCCCGTGGACGCAGAGGACGGCCCCCGTGCCGGTGGCGTAGCTGCCGGAGGAGTCCCCGGTGGCGCCGGTGCCTGCCCACCCGGATCGCAGAGGGGGCATCGAGGAGGAGGCGGGGGTCTGGGTGGTGGACGACGTGGCGGATTTGTCTTGAGAGAGGGAGGGGAGGAGGGGCGAGTCGGTACGCGGCTGTTTGGGTCGGTAGCTGCTCATCGTCACCTCGCCGCGCGAGTTCAGCACCTCAGTTTCCAGCTCGCTGTCGTCCAGCGACATTGTCGACGACGTGGTCTCCAGCGCGGGGCCCGTGGGCTCCAAGCCTGAGCTGGCGCCCAGCACCAGCGCCCCCAGCGCCAGGTAGTCGAAGACCTCGCAGCAGTACCGCCAGACGTTGGCGCTGCCGTATTTCCGGATGCACTCGTCGTAGAAGCCGTAGACCGTCGTGATCTGGCGCGACTCGTGGTTGCCGCGAATCAGCGTGATGCGGTCGGGATAGCGGACCTTGAGGCAGAGGAGGAGCAGGAAGGATTCGAGCGAGTAGAACCCGCGGTCGACGAAATCACCCATGAAGAGGTAGTTGGTGTCGGGCACATCGCCGCCCACGCGAAAGAGCTCCATCAGGTCGTGGAACTGTCCATGGATGTCGCCACAGATGGTGACGGGCGCGTCCACGCACACCACATTGCCTTCTTCGATGAGGAGTTCCCGCGCTTTGTAGCAGAGTTCGCGGACTTGAGACTCGGGGATCAGACGGCAAGCGCGTAGTTGCGCGATCGCTCTGCACGAGAAATGGAGGAGTAAGTCAGTGCTTTACTTTCTCTGTGTATTTGTTTTTTTTTTCTTTCCTTTTTCTTTCTGCGCAAAGTGGGATATGCACGGTCGGGGATTTTATCGGAGAGAAAACGAGAGGATAGAATGTATGCAATACCTGTCTAAGTCACTCATGGTGTGCCAGTGTTCAAAGGATGAGGCTCACTGGGGTCGGAGGAAGGAAGCTGGAGGGGGAGGGGTGGGTCCGAAGAATGGAGGACCGGTTTCACTCTGGTTCAAAGCCGCAAAAGCCCAGTGATAGAAGAAAAACAACAGCTAAGTGTAGAGAAAATGCACGCTCATCTTTCCGCCTAAGAGTCGCTGGAGATGAATAGTAAGACGAGGGGAAGAAGGTGGGAGGGAGAAAGGGCGTGGAGGGGTTGGGGAGATGGAAGGCGGATGATGGTGATGGTGATGGTGATGATGAGGTCTGCTCAGCTGCTCGGAACTCCTGCTGATTGTAGCTTCACTGGTTGTTTGCCAATCACGGGGTTTGCAGATAAGATTAGATCTGATCGTCCAGCTCCGGGCGAATTCTTCCATTTCCGAAGTTTCCCTTCCCGAATCAAGAAACCTTACGATGATTCAAGCTTCCCCATAAACCCCCCCCCCGCCCTCTTCCCCAGTCCTGCTGAGTTACCCGTGCGGTCTCGCGCTTGACTTGCTTTTTCGAGGGGCAATGCCGCTCTTTAGACCCATTCTAATATCCTTCCATTGAGTCAATTTCTTTCCAATTGCTGTCAAGTATGTGTTCCACGTCTCTGCCTGGGGTGCTCTACTTCAATCTCACCCGCTAACGCAATGCCCCCCCCCCTTCCCCCCGCCCACAGTCAAAGTCACAATCACAGTCACTGAAGGCCTACCCACTCATTGCTTGAACACCTGCCAATTGCATAATACAGCACTCGACAATGCCGCCGCATCTGCATCCTCGCTCGCGGTCGACGAGCTCTCTCTTCGCGGCCACCCTCCTCGCATCCCTCTTCGTCGTTGGCCTTCCGCATGTCTTCCCCTGTCCTGCCCCCCGCCGCACCCTCGCCGACTCCGAGATGACCGTCAATGCCGACGGACAACAGGTTCCGCGTGTCCGACGAAGGAAACGCAAGGATGCGGACCCCTTCGGCCTCGAGGATAGAGCCCTTCCTCAATCACCCATGGCTAGCGACGAAGACGTTTCCACGTTCCTCCAATTAGAAGCAGAGGCTGCTGAGCTGTCGCAAGCGGGCCATCAATGCCCCGTGCCGAAACCGAAGGGAATTTTGGGTGACTTATTGGGATTTACGAACCGCGGGGAGACACCATCACAACCCCCTTCGACGAGAGAAGCTCGGTGACTGCAACGTTTATTACAAGGAAATCTATGAAGCATCTTGAGAGGGAGGGAAACGTGGCTTGTACTGTGGAATTGGCCAACTGAAGCGATATTGTTGGCTTCGCTGGGGGGAAGGCTTCGGATTGGGGGTTTGATGCCTCTCCGAATCAGCCGCTCTAACGGCAATTATATACCCATCTTTGTATCGATAGTGTACTTACAGCCATGACTTGTGTAACTACATAGGATCACTTTTGACATTCAATATGAACATGAACAATTTACACTCAATTGGACGTTGCTTGCTCTTCATTTTAACGAGCCTGTAGGTTGGAAAGCAGGCGGGCGCGGCCGGGTTCTGTGTGGAAAGAACCACTAAGCCCAAACAGGACAGGTATCATTGGCTCAGGCTGCGCTCCGCTCCCGCTCCGGCTGCACGCCGGCCTGCTAAGGCCACATGCGTCGCAAGCTCACCACAAGCATTGACATCCATGATTGCAAACCTGCGACAAGATCCAGAATGGAGTGGATGCGCTTCTTCAAGGATCTGTGTCTGAATTCCAGACACACAGTATGGCTCGCACCACTTCTGGTATTAGGCGACGCCTTCCTGTGCACCCTCATCATATGGAAGATCCCTTGTATGTCTCTGCTAAAGTACTTGCTTGCATGGACCTCCCGAAGCTAACCTTCTCTCGCGCTGTCCACGCCAGATACTGAGATCGATTGGTCTACGTACATGCAGCAGATAGCCCTCTATCTTGCCGGCGAGCGCGACTACACCCGGATCAAAGGCTCCACGGGCCCGCTCGTCTACCCCGCCGCCCATGTCTACAGTTACAGCTTCCTCTACCACCTCACGGACGAAGGTCGGGACATTTTCTCCGGCCAGGTCCTGTTCGCGGCGCTGTACCTGGTGACCCTCGTCGTCGTGCTGGCTTGCTACAGGCAGTCCGGTGCGCCGCCGTATCTGTTGCCGCTCCTCGTCCTCTCCAAGCGGCTGCACAGCATCTTCGTCCTCCGGCTCTTCAATGATGGGCTGGCGGCCTTGGCCATGTGGCTCGCTGTCTGGTTGTTCCAGAATCGGAAGTGGACGGCGGCCGTTACCGTCTGGTCGGTCGGGGTGGGCATCAAGATGACCTTGTTACTTCTGGCCCCGGCCGTTGCAGTGATTACGGTCCTGAGTCTGTCCCTCGGGCCTAGCGTCAGGCTCGGTGTGGTGGCATTGCTTATCCAGGTATGTATCCTACTGGCAATCCGAGTTCGGTTTCCGTTCTGCGGGTGCAATGTTAGAAGAGACAGAAGAGGCGCAATGCTAAAAGAGAATAAAGGTTTTATTGGCGATTCCGTTCCTACGAGAAAACCCAGCAGGATATCTTGCGCGAGCTTTCGAGCTGACCAGGCAGTTTATGTTTAAATGGACGGTCAATTGGCGATTTGTGGGTGAAGAACTGTTCCTATCCAGAAGGTTCTCCTTGACATTGCTTGCTATCCATTTTGTCTTGCTGGTGCTATTTGTTGCCTTTGGCTGGCTCAAACCGGTCAGTTCTCGCCTGCCGGAGTTCATCCAGACCCTGCTCACGGGTCGACACCGCCCCGTCCCACTGTCCAAATCGTATATCATGACCGCGTTGCTGTCATCGCTTGCGATTGGTCTATTGTGTGCAAGGTCGCTCCATTACCAGTTCTTCGCCTATCTCTCCTGGGCAACGCCGTTCCTTCTCTGGCAATCGGGCCTCCACCCCGTTCTGCTGTACGCCGTTTGGGCAGCTCAGGAATGGTCGTGGAACACATACCCAAGCACCAACACGAGTTCCATCGTTGTCGTCCTCTCCCTTGCGATTCAAGTCTTTGGTGTTCTCGCGAATAGCACCAACGCCTTCGCCGCTACGCATGCGAAGCAAGGCAGAAAGGAGCATCTCCAATAAACAACTGGATCCGAACAGTTGTGAGAGCCCGGTTATAGTGCGCAGGTGCCAGGGTATGTCGTAAAGTCTCCGGAGAAGCCGGTTCAGATCAACGCCCGTCCGCCAGATTGCGACGAGAGCGATAGCGCAGCAAAGGTCTCCAAGCTTGGAGTCTATTCCCAATGGGAAGAACATCATCACGCATCAGACTCGTCGTCCGAAGGCGGCAGTTTACCAACATTAGACTCCTCCTCGGATTCCTCGTCGTCCGAAGCAGCAACAACTTGCTTGGTGAATTCCTTGGGCCTGCCACAGCATTAATAGTAATTCAAAGCACTCTCCATGAGGGTAAACCAACCAGAATGGAGCCTTGCGCCATGCCTTCTCGTCCCGGACGATGTTGATAATCTCGCCCTTCAGCTTGTTGTCGCGGCCCTCAAGAGCATTGGTGTCGATCACCACGTAAGATCCACGCTTGATCCAGATGGTCGAACGGAACCGCGAAGGCAATTCGACAAGGGCCGACTCCTTGGATGGCGTCTCAACCAGGTAGACGTTGTTTCCGGTAGCTTTGATGACCCGCGTAATCAAGTGTCCCTGGGCAAGCTCATCCGGCGGGACCATCGTCTCTTCCGCCGTGGCGAGTACCTTGCGCCGAGGAGGGCCCATATTGATCAATTGGTACTGTAACCGCGAGGGGTAATCGGGCTGATATTTTGGATAAAGAATAGAATGCGGATGACTCTGAATGGTCAGACAGGTGACAATGAGTATCCGTGATGGAGAATCAAAGTGGATGACGGAAGCTCTGATGGGACCTGAGGCAAAGATTTTTTTTTTCTCCGAGTTGAGGAAATTCCCCAGTGCGGAGGGGGAAGTGGGCCTTGCCCGATTCGGTGATTGACTGTTTCCCCCGGAATGCACAATGCAGCCTGCCTGCCAGCTGCCTGAGTGCCACTGAACTGCCTTCCCGCTTTCAAGTCCAACAGTTGGCGCCGCTTTTTGCTCACTGAGCGGCCCGGAGCGTGGGGGGAAGCACAGAAGTGCGTATTCTGAGCAATCTCTGAGCGATCCAGCTATACTGTGCACGACTAAATCCTGGATTGTACTTTAGCATACTTAAGTTGACATGCTGAAGTTAAAGTCATACAGTATCGATTTCCTCAGATTATCTCCCGAACTACCGTAATTACATGCCCTCTGCCAGAGAAATACAGTATGTAATTGTTGTGGGTATCTTACTCTCTCACTTTAGCACTATATACAAAGTAGCTCAGGTACAGTACAATATCTGTAGACTGAGATGATTGCAGGGGCAGTCAGTAACGATAGGGATTAAGTGCAGTACAGGACAGCAATGCTCAATGACATGCATAAGCACGGTGTGAACCACCACGCAACCACCTAACTCAGAAAGAGCTGCGTCGGACATTACTAGCAGCAGTGCCGAGCTCATGGCGAGCCTGAAGGCTTGACTTGCAGCTACCGAAGGGTCGGGCCTGGGCCGAGACGATGTCAAACCAGCGCCGTAACCGAGCAATTTCTGCCTCCTCCGCAGACATCTCGACCTCCTCTCCCTGAACCTTGAGATCGTCCTTGCACTGTTGCACCTGTTCATCGATCTCGTCCAGGCACTGTTGTGCCTGCTCTTGGATCTCCTTCACACACTCGTTGGCTGTCATGCGGACCTCGATATTACACTCCTCGACCTGCTCGCGGAACTCGGTCTCGTGCATTTTACAGGCGTCGAAGACCTGGTCCACCCCCTTGCTCACCATGTTCTCGAAGACCGTCTGGATGTTGTCCGATTGGAAGTGGGCCGCAATCGCCCGGTCGATGTATGCTTGGACATTCGGATCGATCCGCTCTTTCTCGGGTTTGGATGACAGGTTCCAGCTCTCTACGGGTGCAGGGGTAGGCCGCTGGCAGCGGCATCCCAGGCGAGTCAATAGGTGGCGGATGAGATTGTTGGAAGCCCCCTGGAGCAGATTCTCAATACGTGCAAGGGTATCGTGTTCTATGCGGTCAAGGGATGAAGCACGCGTAAAGTGGGTGGGCTGGATTGAGGCCGATACTGGGGATGGAATGCTCGGTGTATTGGGTTCGGTGGAATAACACGAGGGTTCTGGAGATGTAAGAACATGTCTTGTTCGTCTGTCATCCTCGGGTGGTATTGAGGAGTGGTCTATATGGAATTAATAAACTACTGAGGGAAAGTGGAATGTACACGAGACAGCGATATAATAGAATACCTCGGCGCCGTTTTCCACCCACGTGCACTCCTTTTAAGTGGCTTTTGTATGAGGGTAGGTCCTCTCCCTTCTTCGTCTGTTCGGGCTCGGATTCCTCAGAGTATGGGGGAGGATCAAGCATCTTCCCAAAGACATGGCCATCTCGCTCGATTCTGCCTTTGCGCGCATGGTTGAAAACCTTCGGCCGGAGTCCTTCTTTTAGTGTGAAGAAGAAAGTCTTGAGCCGATCGAGTTCACCGTTGTTGAATTGTCGCTGGGTAAAGTGTATATAGAGTGAACTAGATTTGCAGATCATTTCAAACGCGGCGAGATTGTGGTCTTCTTGATCCGGGGGCTGGATGAGAGGCGGTCCGGCAACAGTACCCATTTCATGCAGCTGAAGTGTCAGTGTTACGACCGTCGAGATACAATGCGTCTGGGCTGGGAGTTCCGCCAAAAAGGATTCTGGGAAAAGTGTTTCGGTGGTGGGCTGTACCACTTTGTACCTTTCGACTGCGCTTGGTGGGATATTCAACGAGAATTGCTCTAGTTTGCCTTTCGGGTTAGCCAGTAAGTTTGTTTTGAAATTGAGTGATATGGTGCCTTGATTAGCTTCTCCATCGTAGTCAATGTAAAGCTTGGCTAAGCAAGGATTATCTCCCTGAGGCAAAGAAACAAGGACTTGCTTCTTCAAGGCCCAGGAGGGCTTTGGGAATGCTGTAGTCATTTCGGTGTGGTAAGATCAGCTAGATATAGGAAAACCCCCTCGATGATGAATCGAGTAGCCCTCCCACCCGGGCTTTTGAGTAACGATAAGCAGCCCTGACTTGGATCATATAAAGAATCAATGATGAGGAGACAAGATAGTAAAGTGGTGAAAGCTCTTGCGGCCTGGTCACGAGTACGTGCCCAATCCAAAGTCAACAAGTGAAATTGAAAAGTCCTATGAAAACACAGGAATGGCAGGACGGCGGCGAGGACAGCAAGAGCAGACACTTCCTTTACGTGAGAATGAAATTCGCGATCAGAGACCGAAGCCGGGAACGTAACGGCCAGCGAAAGAGGGGAGAGAGAGAAGAAAGGAGAGGAGAGAGGAGAGAAGAGGAGTAGGTCCGGGCCGGGGGGGGGCTGGAGATCGGCGACGTTCCTGGAAGCTACGGTGGGCTACTCGACCTTCCTATTTGGGTAAGACGGGCCCGCCCCACCGCCTCCGCACCGCCAAACTGCATAACATTTGGCCGGTGACTCTTAAAAACCAACGAGGTGTCTTTAGTGGGTTCCATATACCAAAATACCAAGTTGCGTATAAGTTTACTATGGAAAATGGGGTTATTGCAAATTGGCACAAATAGCCTGCCGTAGAAGCGGATTTACATTCCTCCCTGCGTCGAGACAAATTCTCGGCCCACCGTATTTGGCTGTTCATTCACTTTGGCAGAGCCTGGAGATTTGTAAGTTAATGGTGTTGACGTTACAGCATCCACTAACATGGAACTACTCAGTAGCTTTGTCAAAAGCAAAAGGTGTTTTCCTTCAAAAGTAAAGAGTCCTCTGGATCGTGGGTATCCGTCAAGGTCCCACACATATTCTCTGGTTCCATTGCCCAGTGGTTTGTATCAGTACCACAGATCTCGATGAGCGTTGCGCACGGTTTAGAGAGCCTGTTCTAGTCGCGTGAATTACCGCAATGAGCGAGCCAGAGCAATCCAGGAGCGTGCTCCATGAGCGGCCAGTCAACTACCCTCTCTATCACTGCATGAACGTGCTGTCAATTCGAATACGTGGGTGTGTGCATTCCCTGTGCACTTTATTCGTATCGATAATATTTCATATGGTTACATCTGCCCGCTGCTGAAGCTTTCACATGCAAAGCCGACTGCTATCTACTCCGTGCTCAACCCACTCTCAGTCATCGCAACATGCAGACTATCCGGCCAGTCATCGAGTATTATTACGAGTCAGGTCCAGATTTCCATGCAGAGCAGCCAAGAAGAGCCTTGGTGCCAGCAGAGGCCAATCCACAAAGTCGAGCCAAGACCAGCGTGATCTTGCTGAATGTGCTGATCTGACCGACTCCGCATTGCTTCTGGCCCACGCCTTCTGGCCCGCGCCTTCTGGGGATCACTGAACGTGCGAAGGGAACATGTCATGTCCACGTACTTCTGTGAGCCTGATTGGTTCTCGGGATTTGAATTCCTATACGACTTCAGCCGATGGACTACGATTTATCAGCTGGCGGGGCCCCAGAAGAATTAGTCAGTCCATCGCCATTGCTACAAAAGACCACTGGGCGGACTGCCAAAGGCGACGATCTATCAAAACGTGTTTGTGATCCAGCCAAAGTATAGAGCTCCGTCCTAGCGTGCCCTTACTCTTCCGAACCCTGCAGCATGTCAGCCTCGGCATTTGGCGCCCTGGTAGAGTTTCAGAGCCCAGCTTCTATCGCCAGTCCGGCTGCCGTTGTGCGTAGAGATAAGCAAGGCATCGCACACACCCCATCCGATCATGAGTTGGTTGAGCTACAGCAAGGGCGTCCACAGCCTGTCAATGGTGTATCATCGAATACTGCCACCGATGTGCAGACTTCTATCACCCCAGGTGAACTCGAAAGTCACTCAGCCTCCCCTGGAGAGAATGAGGCTTCCGGTCCGGCACCGACTTTCAGCAACCCGTCCAAGACCAAATGGCGCTTCTTGAGTACCTGTTTGATAAATTTCGCGCAGGGATTGAACGACAGCGCCCCTGGTGCTTTGATCCCTTACATGGAGAAAGACTACAATATCGGTTATGCGGTCGTATCTCTGATCTTCGTTACCAATGCCTTGGGCTTCATACTCGCAGCCTTGATCACACATCCACTAGAAATGAAGCTTGGTCGCGCCAAGTGTTATGCTCTGTCCATGAGCCTGTTAGTGGCCGGATTCGTGATCATCATCTGCAAACCTCCATTTCCCGCGGTCGTTGCAAGTTTCTTTCTTCTTGGTTTGGGGATGGCCGTCTGCCTGGCTCTAAACAATGTTTACTGCGCGAACCTCGCCAACAGTACCGCGGCTTTGGGTGGTCTTCATGGGTCCTATGGAGTCGGGGGCGTCGTGGGACCGCTTGTGGCAACTGCTATGGCATCACACGGAGTTCGCTGGTCCCTTTTCTACTGTATCAACCTCGCGCTGTCGTTGTTCAACCTGACCTTTGCGGTATGGTCGTTCGCGAATTACGAGAAAGAGCTTCCAGCACAGCTTCTGGGCGCGTTACAGCAGACCGCATCCCGGCAAGCAAACGGCGGCGAGTCAAGAAGTCGAAGCCGTCTTCTCAAGCAAGTGGTCAAGGACAAGACCACCCTGCTCGGGGCTCTGTTCATATTTGCCTATCAGGGCGCCGAGGTCTCAATCTCTGGATGGGTGGTGTCGTTCCTCATCAGCTATCGCCATGGAGACCCGTCCCACGTCGGTTATGTTAGTGCCGGCTTCTGGGCTGGGATTACGCTCGGTCGCTTCTTCTTATCGCATCCTGCCCACTTTATCGGAGAAAAGCTTTCTGTCATTCTCCTTGTGATCGGATCCATCGCATTTCAGCTTATGACCTGGCTCATTCCCAACATCATCGGGGATGCCGTCGCTGTCGCGATCGTGGGTCTCCTCCTAGGCCCCGTTTACCCTTGCGCCACTGCGGTATTCAGCAAGCTGCTGCCCCGGTCGATGCAGACGTCGAGCCTGAGTTTCATTAGTGCGTTGGGAAGCAGCGGGGGTGCCGCCTCGCCCTTCTTTACGGGGTTGTTGGCGCAAAATGTGGGCACTTACGTGCTGCATCCGATCTGCGTTGGATTGTATGGAGTGATGCTTGTGGCCTGGGCATCTCTGCCGCGTATCGCAAAGAGGTCGGAGTGATTCCTCTTTCCAGGTTGTTATCCACCCCTATGCTTTACAAGGGCGTGTTGTGCTGCGACTTGAACTCTCGTAGTGGTGTTCTTGTTCGGTTTGTCAAGGCATTGGGCGGATGCATATTTTGCTTGGAGATGAACTCACATCGGGTCAAGGTGGAACGCGGGGTGGCAGATGACCTTTGCAATACAGTTGTGGAGTATCAGCAGAGCTGACGCAAGCAAGGGGAGCGACCTCTCCCGCCCGCAAGATCATTCGTGTAGCGTCATGAACCCGATTTACCCCTTCCTACTGTATCGCTGCTGGATTTCGGTGGGATTAGCCTTCTCCGTAGGAAGTGATGTCAACAACATATGCATGCTAAAGTATCCACAGGGGTGGCTAGGACGTGGTGTGTGTGTTGTGTTTTATTTCTTTGGGTAATGCGGATAGATGGAATGAAAAGAAGAGTCGCAAGAGTCATTGTATGGGTAGGAAGGTGGGTGATCTTGTATAGATATGGGGGAATGTCACGTCAGAAGAAGGCAGGCAGGCGTGAGTGATTGATGCCTCAGAATGCAAGGCAACAACATTGATCATGATTCATGATTCCCTCAGGCGGTCAGAAACCAAACGAAATTCCTCTGCCCATACCTTGATTGCACGACTTGGTATTCAAATGACCCTTTCAGTCCTGATCATACATGGGATCTTGAAACTTGAATGAAGATGTGACATGCTGCCTATCAGTACTACGAAATTGGTAGTTGTAGCTAAGGTATACGGTTTACACAGTCAGTAACTCGTTGGGTCGGAAAAAGCAGGAGAGCGAGAGACACGAGGAGCAAGTGAGTTAATCATCAGCACGGGGAGGCCGTCTTTCTCTGGACTCTCTGGACTCTCTGGACTACTCCGTACTAGTCCGTCCATTCTTGTCTCACTCAACCCGTGGTCCGTTTCCCGATTGACTGCATGGATTGATTGATGATTGATGGATTGGTTGACGGCCTTGACTGACTGACGACGGTTTTGCCAGACTCCCTACTCAATCAATGAGCTGACCTGGACTGGACTGGACTGGACTGGCTTGCTTCCATGAATTGACTGACATTCCATCTCATCCACCATCATTCATGCTACTCGAGTACATCTGCTACGACTAACTTCTCCGTATGATATCTATCTCATCTTGTGCTTGTTTGTGTCTTCTACCTTCCCTGGTTTTTCTTAATTAAGTCCTTTGCATTTCTGTGCTCTTTTTCATCCCTCCCCTCCTTCTTCTCTTCCTTCCCCCCTGCAAATTGCAACTGTCAACAAAAGTAAGAGCCCCGCGATCGCCAACTCTTGTTATTGTTGTCGATTTTCTTTCCCTTCCTTCTTTCTGTCTTCCATCCCTCGTCCCTCCGTCTTCTCCCTCCCTCCCTCCCCCCACTTTCCTCCTTCCTTCCCTTTCCCCTCTCCGCCTCCCTCCTTCACTCCCGTCATCTCTTTCCCTTCCCTTCTCTCTCACTATCACTTTTTGAATTCCCCATCTCCCTCCCCCCCCTCTCCTTCCTCCTCCTCCTGCTCCCCGCCCCTCCCCCTCTCCCCTCCCCCTCCTCATCTCTCCTGGCTGCCTTCTAATCGCAGCAGGACCCGTTCATAACCATCCTTCTCACGGGTTTCTTGTCGACCTCCCAATAGTTCTCCCCGGCTAATTCTACCTTCACCATGGACGGGGACGAGCTCATCGCCTCGGTCTACCGCAAGATCGAGCGGGAGAAGGCCCTCATCGCCGCCGCTTCGAACATGCGACAGTCGACCGACAATCCTCTCGTGCAGCAAAGGGTCGACGCCAACATTCGCGATGGGCAGAAGAATATTGCTTACCTCGAGGAGA